CCCTGGAATCCTTGGAATACTTGGAATCATTGGAGTCCTTGGAATTTTTGGAATTTTGGGAATCTTTGGAATCTTTGGAATCTTTATAATCTTTGGAATTCTTGGAATCCATGGTATCCTTGGAATCCTTGGAAATTTTGGAATCCCTGTAATCCTTGGAATACTTGGAATCATTGGAATTCCTTGGAATTTTTGGAATCTTTGGAATCTTTGGAATCCTCGGAATCTTTGGAATCTTTGGAATCTTTGGAATTCTTGGAATCTATGGTATCCTTGGAGTCCTTGGAATTTTTGAAATCCTTGGAATCCTTGGAATCCTTGGAACACTTAGAACAATAGAAATCCTTTTAGTTCTTGGAAACCTTGAAATCCTTGCTATCCTTGAAATCCTTGGAATACTTGGAATATTTGGAATCCTTGGAATTTTTGGAATATTAGGAATTTTTGGAATATTTAGAATCTTTGGAACCTTTGGAATCTTTGGAACCTTTGAAATCTTTGGAATCTTTGGAATCTTTGGAATCTTTGGAATCTTTGGAATCTTTGGAATTTTTGGAATCATTGGAATCCTTGGGTTTCCTTGGAATTCTTGGAACTCTTGGAATCCTTGGAATCCCTGGAACCCTTGGAACACTTGGAATTCTTTTAAGCCTTGGACTCCTTGGAATCCTTAGAATCTTTGGAATACTTGGAATACTTGGAATCCTTGGAATCCTTGGAATTTTTGAAATCTTTGGAATCGTCGGAATCCTTGGAATCTTTGTAATCTTTGGAATTTTTAGAATCTTTGGAATTATTGGAATTCTTAGTATACTTGAAATCCTTGGAATTCTTGGAATCCTTGGAATCCTTGGAATTTTTGGAATCGCTGGAATCTTTGGAATCTTTGGAATCCTTGGAATCTTTGGAATTTTTGGAATCCTTGGAATCCTTGGAATCCTTGGAACTCTTAGAACACTTCGAATCCTTTTAGTTCTTGGAAACCTTGCAATCGTTGCTATCCTTGAAATCCCTAGAATACTTGGAATATTTGGAATCCTTGGAATTTTGGAATATTAGGAATCTTTGGAATCTTTAGAATCTTTGGAACCTTTGGAATCTTTGGAATCTTTGGAATCTTTGGAATCTTTGGAATCATTGGTATCCTTGGGTCTCCTTGGAATCCTTGGAACTCTTGGAATCCTTAGAATCCTTGGAATCCTTAGAATCCTTGGAATCTTTGGAATCTTTGAAACCTTTGTAATCTTCGATACCTTTGGAATTTTGGAATATTTAGAATCTTTAGAATATTTGGAATCTTTAGAATCCTTGGAATCCTCGGAGTTCTCGGAATCCTCGGAATGTTCAGAATTTTCGGAACCCTCGGGATCCTCGGAATCTTCAGAATCTTCGAAATCTTCGGAAACTTAGGAATCCATGGAATCCTTGAAACTCTTGGAATTCTTGGAACCCTTGGAACCCTGAAATCCTTTTAATCCTTGGACTCCTTGGTATCCTTAGAATTCTTGGAATCCTTGGAATACTTGGAATCCTTGGAATTTTTGGAATCTTTGGAATCTTTGGAATCCTTGGAATCCCTTTAATTTTTGGAATCTTTGGAATCTTTGGAATTTTTGGAATCTTTATAATCTTTGGAATTCTTGGAATTCATGGTATCCTTGGAATCCTTGGAATTTTTGGAATCCCTGGAATCCCTGGAATCCTTGGAATCATTGGAATCCTTGGAATTTTTGGAATCTTTGGAATTTTTGGAATCCTCGGAATCCTTGGAATCTTTGGAATATTTGGAATTCTTGGAATCTATGATATTCTTGGAATCCTTGGAATTTTTGGAATCCTTGGAATCCTTGGAAACCTTGGAACACTTAGAACACTTGAAATCCTTTTAGTTCTTGGAAACCTTGAAATCCTTGCTATCCTTGAAATCCTTGAAATCCTTGCTATCCTTGAAATCCTTGGAATACTTGGAATATTTGGAATCCTTGGAATTTTTGGAATATTAGGAATCTTTGGAATCTTTAGAATCTTTAGAATTTTTGGAACCTTTGGAATCTTTGGAATCTTTGGAATCTTTGGAATCTTTGGAATCTTTGGAATCTTTGGAATTTTTGGAATGATTGGAATCCTTGGGTCTCCTTGGAATTCTTGGAACTCTTGGAATCCTTGGAATCCCTGGAACCCTTGGAACACTTGGAATTCTTTTAAGCCTTGGACTGCTTGGAATCCTTAAAATCTTTGGAATACTTGGAATCCTTGGAATCCTTGGAATTTTTGAAATCTTTGGAATCCTCGGAATCCTTGGAATCTTTGTAATCTTTGGAATTTTTAGAATCTTTGGAATTATTGGAATCCTTAGTATACTTGAAATCCTTGGAATTCTGGGAATCCTTGGAATCCTTGGAATTTTTGGAATCGTTGGAATCGTTGGAATCTTTGGAATCCTTGGAATCTTTGGAATCTTTGGAATCCTTGGAATCCTTGGAATCTTTGGAATCTTTGCAATCTTGGGAATCTTTAGAATCCTTGGAATCCTCAGAGTCCCCGGAATCCTCGGGATCCTTCTAAACCTGGGAATCCTGGGAAGCCTTGGAAGCCTTGCAATCCTTATAATTCTTGAAATGTTTGAAATCCTTGGAATCCTTGAAATCCATGGAATTTTTGGAATCCTTGGAATGCTTAAAATCTTCAGAATCTTCGAAATCTTTGGAATCTTAGGAATCCTCGGTATCCTCCGAATCCTTGGAATCCCCTGAATATTCGGAATCTTTGGAATCTTCGGAATCCTCGGAATCCTCGGACCCCTCGAAATCCTCGAAATCCTTGGAACCCTTCAAACCCTTGCAATCCTTGGAATCCTAGAAATCCTTGGAATCTTTGGAATCTATGGATTCTGTGGAATGTTTAGAATATTTATCTTTAGTCTCTAGTGTCTTTAGAGTCTTTGGAGTCTTCAGAACCTTCAGAATCTTTAGAGTCTTTAAAGTTTTTATAGTCTTGAGAGTCTTTATAGCCTTTAGAGTCTTAAGAATCTTCAGAATCTTCAGAATCTTCAGAATCTTCAGAATCTTCAGAATCTTCAGAATCTTCAGAATCTTCAGAATCTTTAGAATCTTTAGAATCTTTAGAATCTTTAGAATCTTTAGAATCTTAAAATCTTTAGAATCTTTAGAAAATTTAGAATCTTTAGTATCTTTAGAATCTTTAGAAACTCTAAAATCACTAGAATCTCATCTTCAGAATTTGAATTAGTTTGAAACAATCTTGAGGATCCGTGGTGTTGTTTTTGAAGTAGTTTCAAAGAATTTGGTGATCACTTCTATTTTGTTTTTGAAGTAGTTTGAAAGAATCTTGGGGACCCCTTATATTTTGATTTTGTTTGAAAGAATCTCGGGGACCTCTCGTGTTGTGTTTATAGGGCAGTTTGAAGGAATTGCGGGTACATCTCGTGTCTGGTTTTTAAAGTAGTTTGAAAGGATCTCCGGGTCCCCTTGTATTTGGTTTTTGGGGTAGTTTGAAAGAATCTCGGGGACCCCTCGTGTATCATTTTTGAGGTAGTTTGAAAAAATCTCGGGGACTGCTTATATCTGGTTTTTAAAGTAGTTAAAAATATCTTAGGTATCCTCGGTCTTTCTTTTGATGTATGTAATTTGAAGAAATCTCGAGGATCTCTCGTGATTGACTGATTAATTCATACAAAGCTGAGATTAATACGAAGGGTTAATTTATGTAGAATATCAAGTGTGTGCTTATCACCCTAGCGTCGTAAGTTTAGATACACTGCGTCAGTCAGTCAATGTCCTCCCCATTCCACCTGTGTCGGTATTAGGTAAAAATAATCAAACAATGCACCCCTGGGGCTGGTAATGGTAACACGCTCTCATAGTTTCCAGTTTCGAGTTATCGATTTGGAATGTTTCTCACCACAGTCGGCATTATACGTCCTCATTATTAAACTGACTGTATTTGTTTCATTCATCATAATTTGTATGTGTGTCTGACATTCAATGGATCTGCAATCTCTTAGTTTTAAACAGATCTATATCAATTTATTAATGTTCCAGTTCCCCTTTCAAATGCTAATTTCATGGAGTCTATTTAATTTGAGCGGAGCGTGTTTTAAAATTTAATTAATGGTTTTTAACGACACACCTTTGATGTTATTCTCGTCTCTTACTTAATAATGCATGTTAGCGTATCCAACAATAAATTCTCGATATGTTCCTCATTGTTTCGCAAGCGTGCACATTTTCAATTTCGCGCACAACAAAAGAAGTGGAAACTCGATATTAACATGCGTGTACAACAAACAGATTTTATTTCAAATACCTACTTCCATTAAAATACGACACAATGTAACCCAGGCGATGTTTACCCGGCTTCGAATTCGAAGATAAAGAAATAAATTAGTATTTTAATGTTCTGGAATAAATGAAATTTTACCGCGAATGCGAAGTTTCGTGTGCGCCCAGAAAATGCAGAAATCAGTGTTCACACGAGTTTCCGGCACGTTTAGCATTCATTGGAACCAGATTAAAAACAAGGACAAAAAGTGGATTTGAACGTTCGTAGATAAATAACAGCAAAAAGATAAATCTTATCTGGCGTATCGTAGAGGTTTTGAGTTCACAGTTTTTCGAGTGAAATTACAAACCCTATCACGTCGTGAACCGAAACTAATAAATTTTCACTTCACACCCTTTGCAAGAATAAAAACGTTCCCTAGGGAGATGTAGCAAATATGGCAACATATTTACTATGATATGCACATCACGGAGCTCCCAATTCGTTGTGCACCGGAACGTTGTCAAAATATTACGTGTTGTATTTGATTGGGAGTCGCGGCAGGAAAAATTAAAAAAATACGGAAAGTGGCAAACGTGCGCCAAATGGCGAACCACTGAAAGAGTTCCAATTTGTTTACTTTAGTTTAAAAAATAATCGCTTTTAAATTGCCACCGAGGGCTACGGCTAACCGTGGTGTGGTTAAAGAGCTTGCTTACTTTTATCGATAAACTTGAAAGTTCCTGAAAAACCGCTAGCGTTAGCAGTGTAAGACCCAGTGTGAAATTCCAGGACGAGGCCGGAGCTTGACGAATAAAGTAAAGCTGGGATATCTCCAAGACTCCCACAAAGTAAAAGATCCCACGGAGTGTATTCATTCACTTCTCCTTTCTCTAAATGGAGGAAGATCTTCAAGTAGTCGCCACGGATGCAGCTGAAAAAAGAAAAAATAATCAGTTTGGTGACCACCTAAGAAATCCGAAAAAAGCGCGCGTGCCAATGCCTGCGTTGACAGCTTTCAGAGGACGATAAAATCGTCCGACAATATTGTGTCATTGATTCTGAATCTCTCTCAAGTTTCGCCACATGTGGATTAAAACTTCTCGAAACGGCTTTTCGTCGGATTCGGAAACGTTGGTATTAATTTTTTTTGTGTTGTGTAATTTTTTTGTGGCGATGTTCTATAATTAGGTCCGATATTGGATGAGGGATCGATAGCAGCTGTGTATTGTATGATGATATTTAATCTTATCGGATCGCATATTGTTTTCCTTAGACCGCATCCACTTAAGGAAACCATAACGGTGGATTTGCTTGCCAATATCGTGGTAATTCGTCGAAGGTGTGTTGTTTTTGTTGGTTATGGTGTTTGAGGTACTAAACACCTAAATTTAGAATTTTTTCTTAAATAAAAAAAATAACATATACGTATACTTATTTTTACTTTTCCAGAGTAAGATAATCAAGTATTGTAATATTTTTCCGAATTTTCATAAACAGTATGAAAACACTGGTTTCCCGTTTCCGTATGTCTGTCGTCTATCTGTGGTCTATTGGCGGTTTTATTACTTTTTTGAAACACGTTTGGAACGCCTGGTATTTTTTTTAAACATCCCTTTTGATTTTAATTTTTAATTTAAAATTTTTTTGGGAATCTGTGGTGTTTTTTTAATCAGTATGAAAAATCTTAGGGGGATCGTTTTTTTAATAAATGTAAAATACTCTCTTATACGCTCCTGGTGTTTCGTTTTTGAAAGAATTTGTAAGAGTCTTGGGAGATTATTTTTGAAAAAAATTCAAAGAATTTTCAAGATTCTTCCTGCTTCGATTTTGAAAGAAACTGCAAGAATCTTGGGGCACCTGGTCCCCTGTTTTTGAAAAAAATCTACGAATTTTTGGACTTTATAGCGTTTTTTAAGAATTTTGGAAGTTTCTAGTTTTTTTGTTTTAATTAAAAGGATCTTTGGAGGGCCTGATGCTTTATTCTTGACAGAATTTGGAAAAATGAGGGTGCTTCTAGTGTTTTGTTTCTGAAAGAATTTAAAGAAATCTTAGGAGCCTCTAGGATTTTGTTTAGAAGAAATCATACTGAGGCCTCTGTTCTTGTGTTTTCAAGAGAATTTTGAAGAAAGTTTGAAAGAATCTTACTGGTGCTCTCTTTTGAAAAAAATTGAAAGAATTTTATGCTCCGATTTTGAAAGAAGTTGAGAAAATCTTGGGTTTTTGAAAAAAATTATAATAAGAATTTTGAAGACTCCTGCTTTTTCGAACTCTTAGTGTTTTGATTTTGAAAGAATTAAAAAAATGTTGAAGACATCTGGTGTTGGTTTTAAAAAATTGAAACAATTTTCGAGACTCGTGATGGCCCAATTTCAAAAGAAATTGAAAAAATCATGGGCCTCGCAGTGTTTTGTTTTTGAAAAAAATTTAGAAGAATTTTGGGGGCTCCTACTGTTTTGTTTTTGAAAAAAATTTGGAAGAAACTTAGGAGCTCCTGGTATTTTAAAGAATCTTGGAAATTCCTGCTGTTTTTGAAAGAATTTGTAAGAATCCTGAGAACCAGCGGTGTTCTATTTTTGAATAAATTTGAAAGACTTTTGATGATCTTGGGGTTTAGATTTTAAAAGACTGAAATAATCTTATATTTTTTCTTTTTGAAGAATGTGAAGGAAATACCTGGTGTTTTTTTTTTTTAATTTGAAAAAATCTTATGTATTCCTGGTGTTTTGTTTTTCAAAAATTTTGTAAAAACCTCGGAAGCCTCTGATAATTTATTTTTAGAAAAATTTGAGAGAATGTTGGGGACTCTTGGGGTTTGATTTTTGTAAGAAAGCCTTTGTGTTCTATTTTTGAAAAAAATAAAAAGAAAATCGATCTTCAATTTTGTTTAAAAAAAACCTAAAAATTTCTAGGGTTTCTAGCGGTTTTTTTTTTAATAAAGAAATCTTGGTATTTTGTTTTTGAAAAAATTCGAAATTCTTTTGGGAGCTGTTGGTGTTTTGATTTTGAAAGAATTTAAAAAATTTTTGAGGATGTCTGGTGTTATTTTTTAAAAAATTGAAACAATTGTGGAGGCTCTTGGTGTTCCGATTTTGGAAGAAATTGAAAATAATTTTGGGGGCTCCTACCGTGTTGTTTTTGAAAAAAAATTTGGAACAATTTTGAAGGCCCTTAGTGTTTTTTTAATTAAAATACTCTTAGGGAATCCTGGTGTTCGTTTTTGAAAGAATTTGGAAGAAACTTAGGAGCTCCTAGTATTTTAAAGAATCTTGGAGATTCCTGCTGTTTTTGAAAGAATTTGTAAGAATCTTGGGAACCAGCGGTGTTCTATTTTTGGATAAATTTGAAAGACTTTTGATGATTTTCGCGTTTAGATTTTGAAAGACTTTCAAAGAATCTTGCATTTTTTCTTTTTGAAGAATCTGAAGGAAATTCCTGGTGTTTTTTAATTTGAAAAAATCTTATGTAGTCCTGGTGTTTTGTTTTTCGAAGATTTTGTAAGAACCTTGGAAGCCTCTGATAATTTATTTTTAGAAAAATTTGACAGAATGTTGGGGACTCTTGGGATTTTATTTTTGTCAGAAAGCTCTTGTGTTTTATTTTTGAAAAAAATAAAAAAACAAATCTGCAATTTTGTAAAAAAAATCTAAAAATTTCGAGGGCTTCTAGTATTTTTTTTTAATAAAGAAATCTTCGTGTTTTGCATTTAAAAAAATTGTAAGAATTTTGGAAGCTTCTGGTGTTTTATTTTTGAATAAATTCGAAAGTCTTTTGGGAGCAGTTCGTGTTTTGATTTTGACAGAATTTAAAAAAATGTTAAGGAAGTCTGGTGTTATGTTTTTTAAAAAATTGAAACAATTTTGGAGGCTCTTTGGAGAAACTTAGGAGCTCCTGCTGTTTTGAAAAATCTTGGAGACTCCTGTTGTTTTTAAAAGAATTTGTAAGTATAGTGGGAGTCAGCGGTGTTCTATTTTTGAATAAATTTGAAAGACTTTTGGGTGCTCTTGGCGTTTTGATTTAGAAAGGATTGAAAGAATCTTGAAGGTAACTAAAATTTTTTTCTGGAAAAATCTGAAGGGAATCCGGAGTTTTTTTATTTTGAAAAAATCTTGGGTGCTTCTAGTGTTTTGTTTTGGAAAGCTTTTGTAAAAAACTTGAAAACCTCAAATAATTTATTTTTGGAAAAATTTGAGAAAATGTTGGAAGCTCCTGAGATATTATTTTTGTAAGAATTTGTAAGAAACTCCTGGTGTTCTATTAAAAAAAATGGATCTAGAATTTTACTTAAAAAAAAGTTATAAATTCGACGGCTTCTGGTGTTTTTTTTATTAAAGATATCTTGGGAGCCCCTGGTGTTTTATTTTTAAATTAATTTGAAAGTCTTTTGGAAGTTCTTGCTGTTTTGATTTTGAAAGAATTTGAAAACATATTGTGTGTTATGTTTGTTCAAAAATTGAGACAATTTTGGAAGCTCTTGGTGTTGCGATTTTGAAAGAAATTGAAAGAATCTCGGGGGTTCTTGTGATTCTAATTTGTAAAAATTTGTAAGAAAGTTAAAAAGTTGAAGGCTTCTAGTGTTTTATTATTAAAGATATCTTGGGAACTCTTGGTGTTTAGTTTTTGAAAGAATTTATAAGAACCTTGGGAGCCTCTGGTGTTTTATTTTTAAATAAATTCGAAAGTCGTTTGGAAGCTCATGGTGTTTTGATTTTGAAAGAAATTGAAAGAATCTTGGGGGCTCGTCGTGTTTTGTTTTTAAAAAAAAGTTGGAAGAATTTTGAGGCTTCTAGTGTTTTTTTTAATTAAAATAATCTTGGGGAACCCTGGTGTTTTGTTTTTCAAAGAATTTGAAGAGCTGTTGGGAATCCTTAGTGCTTTTTTTAAATAAATTTGAAAGAATCCTCCTGTTTTTGAAAGAATTTGTAAGAATCGTGGGAGACAGTGGTGTTCTATTTCTGAATAAATTTTAAAGACTTTTGGGAGCTTTTGACGTTCTGGTTTTCAAGAATTTAAAAGAGTTTTGAGGATACCTAACATTTTTTTTACTGGAAAAATCTGAAAAATGCTTGGAAATCCCTAGCGTTTTGCTTCTGAAAGATTTTTTTAAAAACCTTGGAAGTCTTGGATAATTTATTTTTAGAAAAATTTGAGAGAATATTGGGGGCTCTTGGGATTTTATTTTTGTAAGAATTTGTAAGAAACTCCTGGCGGTCTAAAAAAAAAAACTAAAAAAAAGAAATCTGGAATTTTGATTTAAAGGAAAAACGTTAAAAATTCGAGGGCTTCTAGTGTTTTTTTTTTTTTTTGTTAAAGAAATCTTGGAGACCCTGGTGTTTTGTTTTTCAAAGAATTTGTTAAGAATCATGGGAGTCTCTGGTGTTTTATTTTTGAATAAATTCGAACGTTTTTTGGAAGCTCTTGGTGTTTTGATTTTGAAAGAATTAAAAAAAATGTTGAGGATACCGGGTGTTGTTTTTTATTTTTTAAATTGAAACAATTTTGGAAGAAATTGAAAGAATCATGAGGACTCCTAGTGTTTTTTTTTTTGAAAAAAATTTGGAAGAATTTTGAAGACTGCCAGTGTTTTTTTAATTAGAATAATCTGTGGTGTTTTGAAAAATCTTGGAGACTCCTGTTGTTTTTGAAAAATTTGTAAGAATATTGGAACCAGCGGTGTTCTAATTTTGAATTTGAAAGTCTTTTGGGTGCTCTTGGAAGAATCTGAAGGGAATCCGGGGTGTTTTTTTTATTTTGAAAAAATCTTGGGTGTTCTTGGTGTTTTGTTTATGAAAAATTTTGTAAGAACCTTGGAAGCCTCTGATAATTTATTTTTGTAAAACTTTTGTGATTTTAATTTGTAAAAATTTGTAAGAAACTCCTGGTGTTCTATTTTTGAAAAAAAAAATGTAATCTGGAATTTTGATTAAAAATAAC